ATATATATATATATATATACACACACACACACACACACACATATATAACATATATATATATATATTTTTTTTAAAATATATTTTATTCATTTTTTACAGAGAGGAAGGGAGATAGAGAGTTAGAAACATCGATGAGAGAGAAACATCGATCAGCTGCCTCCTGCACATCCCCCACTGGGGATATGCCCGCAACCCAGGTACATGCCCTTGACCGGAATCGAACCCGGGACCCTTCAGTCCGCAGGCCGACGCTCTATCCACTGAGCCAAACCGGTTTCGGCATATATATATATTTTTTAATAACCATGCCTGAGCAGTCTCTGCACCTGGTGGGTCAAACTCAATTAGCACGCATGCCCTCAAGTGCCTTATCAGACTGCCCCTTCACTTTATCTGATTCTGATGGCCACTTCCACCAAACTCTGCTCACCTTACAATTATCCTATGTGGTTCAATCTAGAGGACACTTTGAAAATTTCCCTCCTTTAGCCCTGGCCAGGTAGCTCACTTGGTTAGTGTATTCCTAACATCCCAAGATGGTGGTTCCATCCCCGGTCAGCGCACATACAAGAATCAACCAATGGATGCATAAATAAGTGGAACAACTCAATGTTTTTCTCCCTCTCTCAAAAAAACCCAATAAATTTAAAAAATTAAAATTTCCCTCCTTTAAAGAGACATAGACATTTTTCTGATTCACACTCTCCTTTTTTTTTTGTTAATCCTAACATGAAGATATTTTTCCATTGATTTTTTAAAATATATTTTATTAATTTTTTTTTACAGAGAAGAAGGGAGAAGGATAGAGAGTTAGAAACATTGATGAGAGAGAAACATCGATCAGCTGCCTCCTGCACACTCCCCACTGGGGATGTGCCTGCAACCAAGGTATGTGCCCTTGACTGGAATCGAACCTGGGACCCTTCAGTCCACAGGCTGATGCTCTATCCATTGAGCCAAATCGGTTAGGGCTCCATTGATTTTTAGAGAGAGTGGAAGAGAGAGGGAAAAACGGAAATATCGCCAAAACCGGTTTGGCTCAGTGGATAGAACGTCGGCCTGCGGACTGAGGGGTCCCAGGTTCGATTCCGGTCAGGGGCATGTACCTGGGTTGCGGGCACATCCCCAGTGGGGAGTGTGCAGGAGGCAGCGGATCGATGTTTCTCTTTCATCGATGTTTCTAACTCTCTATCTCTCTCCCTTCCTCTCTGTAAAAAATCAATAAAATATAAAAATAAAACAAAAAAACCCGGAAATATCGATGTGAGAAAAACACATCTATTGGTTGCTTCCTGAACACACCCCGACCAGGGGTAGGGAAGCTGTAACCAAGGTACGTGCCCTTGACCTGCTCTTGACCGGAATCAAACCCAGGACCCTTCAGTCTCGGGGCCGACGCTCTGTCCACTGAGCCAAACCAGCCAGGGCTGACTCACAGACTTCTTGATCTTTCTTCAGCATATGACACTCTCAAGTACCCTCTCCTTGAAATGCTTTGGAGTCCTTTGCCTTCCAGGACACATTTTTTTAAAATTTTTAATATGTTTTTATACATTTCAGAGAGAGGAAGGAAGAGGGAGAAGTAGAAACATGAATGATGAGATGCCGGAAGCCGGTCTATCCTTGCTGCTTGACACAGTCGCTGCAGGAAAGAAACATCTGCACAGCATATGTTCCAAGGGACCTGGCGTATATAGCATACTGTTCTTAATATGTTTGCTCTCCTTAGCGCTGTGTGTTTTAACCAAGGTCACCTCTCCAAGAAAGGTTGTTTCCCCAGGTAGGGATTATTCCCTGAAGTTACGGAGGGGATAAAACCCCTTAACTAAGTGCCAGGCGGGTAGTTAATCACTTTAACTACAAACAATCATGCTTAAGCTACATAATCTTTACTCCCTGGAATGGAGATAAGAAACGCCCTAACCTTTGCAATAGAAATTGACAGGATTAAAATCAACTGGTATAAATACAGATGTAACAAGACAATAAACACCAGAACTTGGCTGGAGATCAAAACCAGAACTTGGCTAGAGATCCTGGCTAGGCTGCTGATCAACTGAACGCTGTCTCTGTGTCATTCCTTCTTCGCCCACTCTGTCCACACCTTTGGGGACCCCTGGACCTGCTGGGGTTGGACCCCAGCAATGAGAGAGAATCACTGATAGGCTGCCTCCTACACACCCTCTACTAGAGATCAAGCCCACAACCCGGGCATGTGCCCTGGCCAGCATCGAACCATGACCTCCTGCCTGGTTCATGGGTGATGCTCATCCACTGAGCCATACCAGTGAGGCTCATTTTTTTTCTTCTTTTGACAAATATTTAGTATTCCAAGTGCTGTTCTAGGACCTGAACCATCATTTCTTGCCTGAATTTCCACCATTCACCAACCTCTTAATTGGACTCCCTGATTCTATTCATCCATCCATCCATCCATCCATCCATCCATCCATCCAATACAGCTAAAGCAGTGGTCGCCAACCTTTCAGACCTCATGGACCGCCAGTGGTCCGCGGACCACCGGTTGGCAACTGCTGAGCTAAAGTATTCTTTTTTAAAAAAAACAAAATATATTTTATTGATTTTTTTACAGAGAGGAAGGGAGAGGGATAGAGAGCTAGAAACATTGATGAGAGAAAAACATCGATCAGCCGCCCCCTGCACACCCCCTACAGGGGATGTGCCCACAACCAAGGTACATGCCCTTGACCGGAATCGAACCTGGGACCCTTCAGTCTGCAGGCTGACGCTCTATCCACTGAGCCAAACCGGTTAGGACTAAAGTATTCTTCCTAAAATGCAAATGTTACTCCCCCTTTGAAAACTCTTCAGGGTTTCCCATTCGATCAAATCCAAAACGTCTTAGTACATGAGGCCCTTCATCAATAAGCAAGCAAAGAGGTAGAGAGGCCCCCATCGGATCAGCCCTTCCTACTACTCTCATAGCCCAGGGCTCTGAGAACAAAGGGTCCCCGAAGTATTCCATCCTCAAGATTTGAAAAAGCTTCACTCTAAATCCCATTCTTGCCCGGCCAGTGTGGCTCAGTGGTTGAGCGTCGACCTATGAACCTGGAGGTCACGGTTTGATTCCCAGTCAGGGCTTATGCCTGGGTTGCGGGCTCGATACCCATGGTAGGGCATACAGGAGGGAGCCAATCAATGATATTCTCTCATCATTGATGTTTATTTCTCTGCCCCCTCCCCTTCCTCTCTGAAATCAATAAAAACATATTTAAAAAAAAAAATAAATTCTTGCCCTAGCTGGCTTGGCTCTGTGGATAGAGCGTCAGCCTGCGGACTGAAGGGTCATGGGTTTGATTCCGGGCAAGGGCATATGCCTGGGTTGTGGGCTTGATTCCCACTAGGGGGCGTGCAGAAGGCAGCCAATCGATTCTCTCTCATCATTGATGTTTCTATCTCCCTCTCCCTTCCTCTCTGAAATCAATAAAAATATATTTTTTAAAAATTCCATTCTTGAGAACTCACAAAGTATATAAATGGCTGAGAAGTAGAACCATAAAGGAAACCTTTCCCCCCTTTTTTATGGAAAAGCCTATTTGGGCCAGAGAAGGCTTTCCTCCGAACATTAGTCCCAGGGAATAAGTGGGAAAATCTGCTATCTGGGCTCATCACCTTGGACACAAAATCCACTTTGCTATAATGGTCATCTGCAACTCTTCAGAGAGTGAACAAGCAAAATAAAGTGAAGCCTGTACACGCAGAGGGTTTCAGAAAGAGGCACTGAGCTAAAATGACAGCAAAGTGCCAAAAAAACGAGGGCGACCCAAATTTTTGGTGGAAATTTAAATGTTCAACATATTAATGGGAACATTTACATTTGTTATAATGTTTTTCTTTCTTTTTTTAAAAAAATATATTTTATTGATTTTTTACAGAGAGGAAGGGGGAGGGATAAAGAGTTAAAAACATCGATCAGCTGCCTCCTGCACACCCCCCACTGGGGATGTGCCCGCAACCAAGGTACATGCCCTTGACCGGAATCGAACCCGGGACCTTTCAGTCCGCAGGCCGACGCTCTATCCACTGAGCCAAACAGGTTAGGCTGTTACAATGTTTTTCTTCTGAGATGGGCGGTAGTACATAGTCTGCCTTATCCCAATGAGACTATAATATCTTTTGGGACTCAGACCTCTAAAATTCTTTCCTAGAGGCCTGGCCATAGAGAGCAAACCCCGTGGGGACCTGAGCCTCAGGTCCGGGCCAGGGAGCTGTTAAGGAGAGCCGCGGTGACGGGAGCCGCTACCTGGAGAGACAGTCACAAGTGCTTGGTCCCAGCTCAGCTTCTGGTGTCCGCCTGCCTGTGCTGCAGCCCCGACTCCACCACTGATGAGCTAGGTGACCTCAGACAAGTTACTACATCTCTGCCCATCTCCATCTCTTCATTGGTTAAATGGAGGTATTAAGAGAAGCTGTACCTTGCCCTAACCCCACGGTCGGCAAACCGCGGCTCGCGAGCCACATGCGGCTCTTGGGCCCCTTGAGTGTGGCTTTTCCACAAAATACCACGAGCGGGCACGCATGTACAGTGCGATTGAAACTTCGTGGCCCATGCGCAGAAGTCAGTATTTTGTGGAAGAGCCACACTCAAGGGGCCAAAGAGCCGCATGTGGCTCGAGAGCTGCGGTTTGCCGAGCCGCAGTTTGCCGACCACTGCCCTAACCGGTTTGGCTCAGTAGATAGAGCGTCGGCCTGCAGGCCGAAGGGTCCCAAGTTCCATTCTGGTCAAGGGCACGTACCTCGGTTGCAGGCTCCTCCCCGGCCCGGGCCCTGGACAGGGCGTGTGCAGGAGGCAACCAATCGATGTGATTCTCTCACATCGACGTTTCTCTCTGTCTTTCCCTCTCTCTTCCATTCTCTCTAAAAGATCAATGGGAAAATATCCTCGGGTGAGGATTAACAATAAATAAATAAATAAATAAAAAAGAGAAGCTGTACCTTTAAAGCTGTGAGTACCACTTGTTTTCACACTAGACGAAGTATGGGAAGAGTACTCATCTGTGTTTGTTAGGGCTGGAGGAAAATTCCAGGTAGCCAGGCAGGTGAAGAATGTGCTAGAAGGAGGGCATCTGGATGGAGCAGGGCCCAATGCAGGGAGAGATGAAGAAATAAAACTCAGTGGTAGGCAAAGGGGGAACAAGAAGGGGGGAGGGCACATGCCAGAGGTACATAAACAATCACTTTTGTAAGACTTGATATGAAAGGAAAAGTCCATAAAGAGCCGAAACCGGTTTGGCTCAGTGGATAGAGCGTCGGCCTGCGGACTGAAGGGTCCCGGGTTCGATTCCGGTCAGGGGCATGTACCTGGGTTGCGGGCACATCCCCAGTGGGGGATGTGCAGGAGGCGGCTGATCGATGTTTCTCTCTCATCGATGTTTCTAACTCTCTCTTTCCCTTCCTCTCTGTAAAAAATGAATAAAATATATTAAAAAAAAAAAAAAGTCCATAAAGAAACTCGGGAGTACCTAACTCTTGTGCATGCCCCCTTCCCTACAACAGGCTGGGCATCCCTGGGGCTTGCCCAGGAAGAAAGGTAAGAAGCAGATACATCCCCGACGACTCACTCATTCGGTTTATTCCAAGGGATCCCCTCTTGAAAGAGACCATGTTTATCAGTTCTCGCTCCCTCCTCTGAGCCTAAGACCCGGTGAGAGAGCAGTGATGGCAATGCCCTAATTATTGCTCCTCCTGGGCTGTCAAGGCCACCAGTGCTGCCCGGACCTCTTCTGCCTGCGCTGGGGGCAGCAGACAGTCCTGAATGAGGGCCAGCGCGGCCGCCTCCGTCAGGCTGCTGAAGTCCTGGGGCGTTTTCACAGGGAGGTGCCCGGCCAGCTCGCAAAGGGCAACATTGAAGGCCTCTTGCTCCTTCACCCCAAAGCTGGACTTCCGGGCCCAGAGGATCACCCGGACCCCTGTGAGCGCTGAGGAAAAGGAAGTCTGTCCAGGTGGTGCGCCCCGGGTCACGAACAGGTTGTGTGCAATCTCACGGGCAGTCAGATAGTCCGTGGCTCGACACACCCTGCTTATCAAGGCTTCTAAGTCCGGGCCTGGCCCGCTGGTGTAAAAGAGGAAGCCGGGAGCTGGGACAGCCTGCAGCAGGTGCAAACGGCCCCCAGGGTCCAGGGGCTCACTGGGTGCCCCCTCCACGGGCAGCCTGTGGGGCAGGTAATAGCCGTGCAGGTGGAGGTGGTTGACGGAGGCCAGGCCGCCCAGGCTGTTGAAGCCGACGCGAAAACCCGGGTGTGAGCTCAGCAGCACGGCCTCCAGCCCGGCCCGGAGTGCACCCGGCAGCAGGCGCTGGGGGAGTCCCCGGGCGGGCTCGGGCACCAGCAGCACGTGGCCCCACTCCAGGGGGCTCACGTTGATCATCACGAGGATATCCTCTTGCTGGAGGACCCCCTCTTGCTGGAGAACCCCCGGGGGATCCGGCTCCCGGCGCAAACGGAAGAGGACTTCTCCCGGCCGGATTTTGTTGAAGTTAAACTCTTCGGGGTCAAAGGCCTGCCTGACGCTCCTGATGTTCTGGGGGCGCCTCCTCTGCACCCCTCGTTCCACATTCAGCTGAGCCACGAAGCCCATGGAACCAGGGAGCATCCGGGTCTGCAGCTCCCCCAGGCGGTAGCGGAACAGCCCCAGCTCCATCCGCTGTCTCCAGGCAGAGCAGAGCGCCGAGTCAAAACGAGACAGAGGCAGGGTGTCCGGGAGGCTGGGCGCGGTCCTGGGCCACTGAATCGCTTCCCGGGAGAGTTCCTTCTGTCCAAAGACAAAGTCAGGGATGCTGTGCTCTTCCCAGTCCTCCCTGTTTGGAGGGAGCAGGTAGGAAGTTTCGCTTGAACCAGCTGAATCCGCCATGGGCCGGCCTGAAACAAACGTAAGAGGGGGGAAAAACACATGATGCTACCCCATTTCCAGAGACTTTATTTTTATTTTCAAATAACCTTTACTTGTCCTTCTGGTTACAAAAGTCATATAAACCTTTGGTCAAATATTTTGAAATACAGAAATTACTCATGATCCTGTAGACGAGCATATATTTTTGCTGAATTAAAAATCCAAATAGCCAACCGGCGTAACTCAGTGGGTTTAGCATCAACCAATGAACCAGGAGGTCAAGGTTCGATTCCCAGTCAGGGCACATGACTGAGATCCTGGGGATGAAGCCCTGAACCTAGGCATGTGCCCTTGACGGGAATCGAACCTGGGACCTTCCAGTCCACAGGCCGACGCTCTATCCATTGAGCCAAGCCAGCCGGGGCGATCACATTGAGTGCTGGGCAAACTATAGTCACTCCGTAAACATTTACTCAACCAAGGCCACGTATCAGGTCCTGGCGCGCATGCCTCTCTCTCCTAGCTCACGGGGCTTACAGTCTAGTGGGGGAAGCAGACATCACCCGAGTAACTATAAATTGCAAGCAAGATACATGCCGCGCAGGAGAAGCATCGGGAACTCGGCAAGTGTAAGACAAACTCCTGATCCAGTCCAGGGACTCAGGAAAGGCCTCCGTGAGGGTAAGCCGGAAGAGGAACTGCGTGCCCACGGTGGCCAACACACAGAGGCCCTGAGGAGTCGGCAGGGAGAAGCTGAAGTCAGATTACAGGGGCGCGCGTTTTTGTTTGTTTGTTTTTAATTAGCACCCTCACATTTAGACTTTAAAGATCGGCAAGCAGATTAAATGAGAAGAATCCAGAATTAATCCCCACAAGTGCACCTGTCAGTGATACCTCCGCAAAACGAAAGAAATAACCTCCCTTCCACCTCCTCCTCTCAGCAGCTTGGAATCCTCACCCTTTGGCACAGCGCAGTTTCATTCATTCGTGCATTGGTACAGGGGAACCTACCTTGCAGGGCTGTTGCAAAAATCGAAGTCACTCCGCACAGCGTTTGGCATCCGGCGGGTGTCAGGACACAGCCTCACAGGCAGTAAGTTGCCGGGTACGTCTGCAGAGGCGACCTGGGGGCTGCAACACGTGAGGCGGGGGCCGGGTGGTGACGTCAGGATGCAAAAGCCGTCCTCAGGCACAGGGGCAGCCGGCGGCCAATGGCTACTCAGAGAGCTTCCAGGCCCCCCTGGCCCCAGACTTCCCTGCTGCCCTTTACCCGACCTCACCCGAGGCCGCCGCCGCCCACCGCAGGCGAGGAGGACGCTCGGCGCGATGGACCCTCAGCTACTGCAGCCAGAGCAGCGAGGACGCGGTGCCCTTCGCGCATGCGCAGCCCGCGCGCACGCACGCGGCGTGGCCCGCCCCGTCCGCCCCCGGAGGCGGGGGCTGTGGTCTGGCCACGCCCCTAACCACGCCCCCAGCTCGCCAGGGACCGCCCAGAGCCGGGAGCCGGCCCCGCGGGGAACCTCTGGGCGCCGTAAGGAGGAGGCGGGCCCGGGGGCGGGGGCCCCCCGCAGGGGCGGTTGCCGTGGGGACGGGGCGGTGACGCGGCCCGAGGGCGGAAGTGAGAAAGTTGCCGGAGTCCCGAGACGAGTTGGCGGAACTGTGCGCGCGGCGCGGCGATGGGGGGCTCGGGCAGCCGCCTGTCCAAGGAGCTGCTGGCCGAGTACCAGGTGCGCGGGATGCGGCCCGGGGGGCTCGCGCGCGGGCCTGCGCCCGGGGACGGGTCCCGGAGCGGGCGGCGGGGCGGGCGCGGCCTCCGGGCGGCCCGCTGACCTCGGTCCTGCCTGCCTTCCAGGACCTGACGTTCCTGACCAAGCAGGAGATCCTCCTGTAAGTGCTGTCCTGAACCTCGCCACCGGGACCCTCTAGAGACGGCTTCGGGGGGGCCCTGTCTTACCGCCGGGGAAACTGAGGCCGCCTCGAGGGAGCGGCTGAGCCGGAACCGGAGTCCCGCGCCCTAGCCCGCGAGCCCGGGCTGCGCCCCGCCCGCTCTGGGGGCCCAGCTGTGCTGTCTGCAGCCGGAGTTGGGCGCCCTTTGCCCTTGCGCTCCCCTGACTTCTGCATAACAGAACCTCCAGCCCCGGTCCGGCGGGGCTGCTGTGGCTCTCGGCTGACCGCCGATTGGCAAAGCCAGCGAAGCCTTGGGGAGCGTGGTTCCTTCTCCCAGCTTTACCCACATAATACAGTAACCGCTAACTCTGCTTCCGCACCTGCCCGGTGCCAAGCACGGTGCTAAATCAGCCTACGTTACCGACTTTAATCCTCCCGAGGGAGGGAGGGGACAGTGACATAGGTCCGGAGAAGTCTGGCAACTTGCCTAATACTGTTCCATCCCCAGAAAGGATTTGAACTGGGGCGGGAACCCCCTTTCCAGCCACTTGCCAGCTTTAGGTGGCCAGGGCTTCTCTTGGCTAAAGTAATCCCAGTGGCAAGGAGGTGGTGCCGGGGAGGAGATGGCTGCTCCGTTCAGCCTTGAGGAGCAGGAGATCCCTGGAGTTTTGCTTATCTCTCCCAGTTCATCGGAGCCAACCTCTGGCTCCGGTATAAACCCAACCTCTCCACCCCTCCGGGACCTACTGTGTGCGCACACAGTAGGTCCTCAGCAAATACCCATTGGGAGAACGAACTCCCAGCCTGCCCTGTCTTGAGACATAGCTCCCGTTGGCTTATCAAGCCTGGTAACTCAGACATTCTCTGTGCATCGCTTGGCGCCTCACCTGGTGTGTAACGGGTAATACACACGGGAAAGTGGGCCAACAGGTTCCCCTGCTTGTGCCAGAGCCCACAGGCGGTTCTGTGAGCTGCTGCCCCTGGAGCGCCGGAGCATGGAGGAGTCGCTGCAGGCGCGCGTGTCCCTGGAGCAGATCTTCAGCCTTCCAGAGCTCAAGGTGCCAGCCCCCACCTCCCCCCTACCCCCTGTCAGGTAGTCACTGTCCCATTCTGCTCTTTCCTCTGTTTAACGTGGATGTTAGGGGGCGAGGGCTTTACCTAAATCACCCAGTGGGATGATCTGGAACGGCGTTTTTCAAATCGGGATTCTAGGAACACATTCTTGGCGCGTCAAAAGAAGCTCGGTCCTTTAAGAGGAGTTGAGTTGCCCTCAAGTTTGAGATTCTCCTCTTCCACAGGCTGATTTGCCTCTCCTGAGGGCTGTGAAAATGCAAGGGGCTTGGCCTAGTGCCTGTAACACAGGTGTTTATTTTAATTAATTAATATATATTTTTATTGATTTCAGAGAGGGAGGGGAAGAGAAACATCAATGATGAGAATCATTGATCGGCTGCCTCCTGCACGCCCCCTACTGGTGATCAAACCCATAACCTGGGCATGTGCCCTTGACAGGAATCGAACCTGGGACCCTTCAGTCCACAAGCTGACGCTCTATCCACTGAGCCAAACCAGCCGGGGCTATTTATTTATTTATTTTTTGTTAATCCTCACCCAAGAATATTTTTCCATTGAATTTTAGGGAGAGTGGAAGGGAGGGAGAGGGAGAGAGAGAAACATCGATGTGAGAGAAACACATCAATTGGTTGCCTCCTGCAACCAAGGTTCGTGCCCTTGACTGGAATCGAACCCAGGAGGACCCTTTGGTCCCCAGGCCGACGCTCTGTTCACTGACCCTAACGGGCTAGGGCACAACACGTGTTTAATTAAATGTTCTCTTGGCTTAGTATGCCTTCGTCTTCCTTCTCTGCCCCCAAGCCTACCTGTGGGTTAACCTCTGATTCCCAGTAGCCATCCCTGCCCCCTCCCCAGCGATGTCCCTGGTCCTCCTGCCTTCGGAAGAGGACTGGTCATTCTCCGTAGCCTGCGCTCATGGTGCGGGTTCAGGGACTGTCCCCTCTGGTTCATGGAGGCTCTCTTCCTAGGCCAGCGATGGCAAACCTATGACACGCGTGTCAGAGGTGACACGCGAACTCATTTTTTTGGTTGATGTTTCTTTGTTAAATGGCATTTAAATATATAAAATAAATATCAAGAATATAAATCTCTGTTTTACTATGGTTGCAAATATCAAAACATTTCTATCTGTGACCCGGCACCAGAGTTAAGTTAGGGTTTTTCAAAATGCTGACACGCGAGCTCAGAAGGTTCGCCATCACTGTCCTAGGCCAACCCCTTCAGGGAGCGCATCTGCAGGGTCTTCTCGACCTCCCCGGCCCGAGACAGCTTGAGCTTTGAGGATTTCCTGGACCTCCTCAGCGTGTTCAGTGACACGGCAACGCCAGACATCAAGTCCCACTATGCCTTCCGCATCTTTGGTGAGGACCCGGGGGAGCCTAGGGGAGCACAGGGCCTCCCCCGGGGGGTCCTTTGGGCGGGGCTGCCCGGGCGCTGGGGTCAGCCCTGGGCTTCCTGTGTCTGCTCTGTAGATTTCGATGATGATGGAACCTTGAACAGAGAAGACCTAAGCCAGCTGGTGAACTGCCTCACGGGAGAGGGCGAGGACACGCGGCTCAGTGCTTCCGAGATGAAACAGCTCATTGACAATGTGAGCAGCTGGGCCCAGCAGGGCGGCCCTGGCTGAGCCGGGCCGGGCCGGGGAGCCGAGGGAGGGCTTGGGCCTGACACTCTCCCTTTGCCCAGATCCTGGAAGAGTCCGACATCGACAGGGACGGGACCATCAATCTCTCCGAGTTCCAGCACGTTATTTCCCGTTCACCGGACTTTGCCAAGTATGACAGTGATCCCGCCTGTGGCACCTGGGTCTAGGATGTTATAATGGGGGGGAGGGGGGGGAGTGCCAGGGAAAGCCCCCCCACCCCCGCCTCCTCTGAATATCTCAGGGTAGCTCTTCTCCCAAAGGAGACTGACAGACGTGAGACACAGCCCATTCCAAAGGGTCTTGGGGGAAAGGTGGGTACATTTAGGTTTAGTCCTCACCCTCCTCTTCCAGCAGCGAATCAAACCCACTGTTCTCTTGTTCAGCTCCTTCAAGATCGTCCTGTGACAGGAGCCACAAAGCCGTTTCCCAGCCGCCGTACAATAACCTTGACACTGCTGAGCCGTGGCCAAGGTTACGCCAGTGTTGCCAGGGCCGGCCGAGCTGGCCCGGTCGAGCTGGCACTGCGCAGTCTTGTCCCAGGCAGGGAAGGGCGCTCCCAGTCAGTGCCTCACCCCTTCTCACTGCCGTTGTCACCGCTCTGTGTTTCTGCTCATCAGTAATAAAGGTTAAGACGTTTTGATTCTGGGTGTGACGCTGGAAATGCTGGTTATGAGGAAGGACTGGACTTCTAGGAGACCCCGGTTGTCCCGGGACTGACGAACTTCCGGAGAAGGGGCCAGCAGGGAGGCAGAGTGGGCACTGAATATGAGAGGGTCCGTGGGGGAGGGAACGCCTTGAATCCTGATTGTGGTGGTGATGACATGAATTTCTACATTAACATTATAGAGCCGTTTGCCAAAAAAAAAAAACTTATTGTAGCCCGGCCGGCGTGGCTCAGTGGTTAAGCGTCGACCTATGAACCAGGAGGTCACGGTTTGATTCCCGGTCAAGGGCACATGTCTGGGTTGTGGGCTCGATCCCCAGTATGGGGCGTGCAGGAGGCAGCCAATCCATTATTCTCTCATCACTGATGTTTCTCTCTCTCCCTTCCTCTCTGAAATCAATTAAAAAAAAAAAAAAAATATATATATATATATATATACACACACACACACACACACATATATTTTAAAAAGTATTTACTGTATGAGCATTTTAAAAATAAAAAAAAGAAATTTTTAAGAGTTAAATAGAAACCCTGTTTCCTGTGCCCCGACCCCTGACCAGAGTAAAAGGTTGAGATATGGGCGGACAGGCGGGCTGGCTCTGGCCCCCTGACCCCTGGCCCCTGGCAACAGGAAGTTCAGAACCCCCAGAACTCAGAAGATTAGACCAACCTCAAAAAGCAACAGTCCTTTCATTTTTTTATTTTTCACTTTTACTTTAGTAAATTGTTTTCCCCTTCTAGTTAATTTAGTCAGTTTATATCTGTTTTATTTCGTTTTGTTAATCCTCACCCATTGATTTTTAGGGAGAGTAGGAAAGAGAGAGGGAAAGACAAGAGAAACAGCGATGTGAGAGAAACAGCGATTGGTTGCCTCTTGTATGAGCCCCAACCAGGGCCTGGGCCAGGGAAGAGCCTGCAACCAAGGTCCGTGCCCTTGACCCGAATCGAACCCGGGACCCTTTGGTCTGCAGGCCGACGCTCTATCCACTGAGCCACACCCACCGAGCCATGGCTAGGTCAACAGTCCTTTAAGAGGAAGGGCTACGATTCAATTTCGGTTCTTTGAGATTTTATTTAAAATACAAAAAAACAGAACAAATGTAAAGTGCATCTGACTTAAAAAAAATATAAAACCCACATAAATTCAGGCCCTTGTGCTGGGCAGCGTCAACTCCCTTAGATCGGAGGCAGGTCAAGTGTGGGAGTGAAGGGGGAACTGGGCGCCGAGACGCGCTGGGTGGATACGGGACAGGGGACAGGGGACAGGGGACACGGGTTTCAGTCCGGACAGAGGAAGGCGGCCAACAACAGTCTCTTCCTAGAATTCCGAGGGAAAGGTGAACATCGTCCTAACTCCTGAGCTCACGCTGCCTGCTGTCACGTGGCCACGGCCTGATACAGGCCGGAAAGGTCCAGAGGTGGCTCGAGCCCAGGCCTCGTGAGGGCCGCAGTGGCAGCGTGGCCCTCGGTCCCTGAGGTGACGGGAATGGTGGCCGTAACAACCTGGCCAGTGGCCAGGCAGGACCCACGGAGCCGGAGCCGGCCCCCGGCCCAGCAGGGACGGGCCGCCTGTGGCAGTAGCATAAGGCAGAGGTTCCCAACTCTGTCTCCACTCACCACGGTGGATGTTTCCAAAACCCCAACCGGGGCGAGACCCCCAGGCCGGGGGCTGCGAGCTGGAGCGGCCGTGCCCATGGCTTTGTTCTTATTTCACATTTTCAGTGGTTTTTTTTACACAAAAGGCTCAGCTTACATGAGGAGCACTGCTCTGCCCACCTAGGCAGGCACCTGCCCATCTTCCGCGGGGCCATGGCATCTGGGTTGGAGGGGCCTCACTCCTCCAACGGGGCCGGTTGAAGGGCCCCGCTACCCCGGAGGGCTGGGCACAGCGCCATGTCCAGCCAGACTCTACAAGAGCAGCGTCCAGGCAATGCCTCTGAGCATCCAGGGCGCTCTGAAGCCAGGGTGGCCTCCTCTGGAGGTCAGCTGTCACACCACCGAGTCCCGGATCTCAGAGCCCAGGCGGACCCGGGGCCGGGGGCACACCGGGGACACCTCCACGAAGCTGTCGTGGATGCTGAGCGGCCTCTTCTCCGACTCCGTGAAGACCTGCGGCCCCGGGGAGTTGTCCGACAGGGCCTGGTAGCCTCGGTGGTCCGGCGGGATGCTCGGGGGACCGACGCCGTTGAGCGGCCGGGTCTCGGGCGGCAGCACCACCGGGCGGGTCTTGGGGTGCACGCTGGCACGCTCCCCCTGCTTCAGGAAGACCTTCATGCCGTCGCGGTGCCGGTAGAGGAAGAACAGGATCAGGAGCACGATGACCAGCACGAACAGCACGCTCATCACCAGGAACTCGGTCCAATAGGACCGGCCCGCGCCCCAGCTGGCCTTGCCGTGGGCGGGCGCGCTCACCCTCGACGTGTTGATGACGACGGACCCTTTGACGCGCCGGTCTGCCGCTGTGTCCAACACCACCGGGCAGTAGTTAGCCACCAGCTGCCGGAAGCCCCCCTCCAGCGACCAGCACTGGAACACCCCCAGCTCCTGCTGGCTGCCCACCAGCAGCAGGTCCCCCGTGGGCAGCACCCGGCAGGAGGCCGAGCCATTGACAGGCTTCCCGTTGTGCAGCCAGAGCCGCGTCGCCAGGTTGGAGAGCAGGGGGCAGGCCAAGGTGTTCACCGTATTGGGCTGGAACGGGACTGGCTCACACGGCTTCTCGCCTGTGGGCAGGAGAGGCACAGACATGGGGCCAAGGGGGCCTGGCGTGCACCACAGCCCCAGCTCACCCACCTCCCGCTGGGCAGTGCCCATCAGGCCACTGTGGCAACTCTGAGGACTCCGGGGATTGTGACTTCCACTTCCCAGGGCCTCGCCTGCAGGCTGGAGGGACCAGGATGGGAGGAAAGGCATTTACTCCCGCCAGTGCCTGAATTCAGGAGCCTTCTAAGCAGCTTGGCCCCTGCCTCCCTCCATCCTCTGACGGGCACCTTACCTGCTGGTGCAGCACCCTGGGACTTGACGAAGGAAGCGTTGCACAGGTCCCTGGCATTAGTTCCCTCGATGTCCTGGATCCACGGCCTGAGGAACAAAGAGAGCCTGGGATAGGCCAGGGTGCCCCGTGGGCCTGCACCCCTATCCCCAGGTGCAGCCCTGAAGGCAAGGGTCCGGGGCTCAGGGACCAGCAGGCCCAGAGCAGGGGTAAAAAGCAGGCCAGCATCTCTTGTTTCCCAGTAATTATTTCAAATAAAAGTTACTGTAATACTCCCCTGCATTACAAAAGCAGTAAAAGCCTTAAGACACAGGAAGGACACCTGGCTGTATATAGCTCTGTGTGTCTGTCTGTCTGCCTGTCTTTTTTTTTAATCCTCACCCAAGGATATGTTTATTGATTTGAGAGAGAGAGGAGGGGAGAGGGAGAGAGAGGAATAGAAACATCGATGCGAGAAACATCGATTGGTTGCCTCCCGGACGCACCCTGACCAGGGATTGAACCCACCACCTTTTGGTGTACAGCAAGCATGTCAAACTCACGGCCCACAACGAATATTTTTGCAGCCCAGCCAACATAACGGTATGTAAGAAACGTTTTAATAAAAATTTCATGACTTAATTTTTACAATATCCTGTTATACATAATCATTAATAAATGACAACGTTCGCTGATGACTGACTACTATCGTGTTGCATTCATTTCCCTAACGCGCCTTACGCGCAGGCGCACCATTTCTCTCCACTAATACCAGCAGCGAATATTTTAGCAGCCGATGGGCACGTCGTTAGCCCTGGACTGACTTGTTTGGTGTGTCCAACAGATAATTATTTCGCTTTCGGAGACCAGAAAAATAGGTTTATCTGCATTACACCTATTCATTTGTGCCGTTACTGTCTGGTAAGTGAATGTTCAAGAAAAAAAAAATTATTATTATTTTTTTTATGTATTTTATTGATTTTTTACAGAGAAGAAAGGAGAGGGATAGAGAGCCAGAAACATCGATGAGAGAGAAACATCGATCAGCTGCCTCCTGCACGGCCCCTACTGGGGATGTGCCCGCAACCAAGGTACATGCCCTTGACCGGAATCGAACCTGGGACCCTTCAGTCCGCAGGCCGACGCTCTATCCACTGAGCCAAACCGGTTCGGCAATTTTTATTAAAATGTTCTATTATTTCATGTTAATGATCACTCACTTATTTCAGCCCTTTGTATTTTGCATATCTCTATCGAAATAAACCTACATTTCTATGAACATGGAAGCTTTGGATTTTTTGCGGCCACATACACTTAAACCTTGTTTACTGGGCCCGTGTGAGCCTTTGAGTTTGACATGCTTGGTGTACAGGATGACCCTGCAACCAACTGAGCCACCCAGACGGGGCAGATAGCTGTCTCTCTAAAATCCACGCCCACGCACCGACTTGTTGCATAAAATGTAACCAAGAACCTCAGAACGATTCAAACAAGGACCAAGGCTGAAAACACTGTAAAAACCAGCATCCAGGGACCATGACAAGGAGCGTGTTTGGCGTGTCCCTCCCAGTGTCCATGTGTGTAGTCACATGAGGTTTTGTGAGATAGGAAGCTGGCACTGGGGTCCCCCTGTGTGAAGCAAGAGGGGCAGGCCGTGTTTCCACTTAAAATGCACGCTCTTTTATTTCACACGCACATAGAAAAGTCTGGGAGGGTAGACATCAAATTCTCACCGTGATTCTCTCTAGGTGGTGGGTTTAGGGGTAGTTATGTTTTGATTGGGCTTATCTCGATTTTCTAAGTTTTCTATACGAACATTTTATAGCTCAAGTCATTTTCAAAACTTTTTAAAAAAATATATTATTTTGACTAGGCCACTTCAAATAATTTTTTTTTTTTTGAAAACAAGGACACTACAAATGGGGCAGGTCCTGATTTCACTTAAAATATGTCAACCTATGAACCAGGAGGTCACAATTCGATTCCGGGACAAGGGCACATGCCCGGATT